TATAGAGGCTTCTGGTGATGATGATGATAATGATGATGATGATGTTGATGATGATGATAATGATCATGATCATGATCATGACGACGATGATCACGATAAGGATCAATTGATTGCAAAGCAAGAATTTGATCAAGTATGAAAGGTTTCTAATTTCACTCTCATTCCGAGGAGTTTACAACATCTTGTTTAAGCAACGATTCAAGTGATAGATCGCTCAAATCTACAGGTCAATCGGACTGTGATCTGACTCTTATTTACCGAACGACTGGGATACTCATTTCTCCGATTGAAGAATGGGTTTATTTATAAAATAATTTTAATCTGGCTTATGAAGTTAGATTTTTGAACTAATTTATTATGCTATTTACAGGAATTTTCTTTATCTGACGATTACTTTATCGTATTTCGATCAAAAAAGTTTTACGTACTCAACTACTAGCCCAAACGAAAGGAGTCAGATAGAAAAATGAACATTTTAAAACCATACATACACGCATACCATACATTAGTAATTATTCTCTTTTTTCACTCATTAAATGCTGATTCACAATCACAAACTAATAACAAGCATTACAAAGAAAATAAAAGGTTGCTTGCAATGAACACTATCGATTTGCCTCAGCTGATTTCGCCCTCCTCTTTTCAGATTAATCACATGACTTCGAACACAAACTCTATCCTAAGTGACATCCATACAGTCAACAAAGCGTCATTTTGAAGCCGTTAAATACAGCTCCACAGTGTGTCTCTCATCGCACACGTAACATCGGCTTTTGCCAAACCGCAATTGTCACGTACATCAAGCCTGAAGGCACAGTGAATTTAGTTAAACTGAGCTAGGCTTTACATCTAACTGGTTAAAGTGGAGCTCATACAGTACAATAGTTTTCATACATGATGTCAAAAAGTGCATTCCATCGGGGACCTCAGCAAGCTGCTCCAGTTGGTTGGTACACAATTTGATGCGTAAGAACAGCTATTGAGCAGAAATGCGGGAATAAACAGACGAATAATGACTAGATTGCAAGCTTTTTTGATTGAGAAACACGATTCATTTCATTCATTCCTGAGCTATGGGGCGATCCGATCACATTGCACACGGCAGTTTCACAAGCAACAATAAATTTGCCGTCATTTTCCAAAGATTTTTCATCATTGGTAATTGCTACGGTATGTTCCTCGTAAGTTCAAGTGAGAACTTCAAAATTATTTCTTGGACTTCGCCGGGGGCGAATTGGCATGCATATTGATTCATCTTGGTAACAGTTCACAAACAATAATGAAATCAACGCTTAAACCCGGCTGACAGAACACGGACCAATTGAACACTGAGTTTGTGATTGGATTGTCATCGACAGATTCACAGCCGGTGGTTCATCACAGTCCTTACCCATCTCTGAAACCTGAAATGACATGTTCACGGCAGATATGCAAATCAATTTTCAAAATGGCTGAAAAACGACGTGGATAGAAGTGTTATTGATTCGGACTAATCATCAATCAGACTCCATCTCCACGTACAATTCACAGTTTGTATATAATAAATATCTATGAATACATTAGGGATGTATAAAACTTAAGTTTCCTCTTTGTTAAAGATCACTAGTGGTGAATAGTGAACATTTCCTTTGGGAGTTCTCTAATCCAAACCCATCATTTGGAAGGCGAGTCTCTCAATCCTATGCCAATGTCATAGGGATAACCATAATTGTTATCTTAACTCTCATAAAAAATGTCATCATAGGTATTCGGAAGCTCAATTGGACCAGTCAAAGGAGGCATTAGTGAAAATCTGTGAACCACCCATCTCCCGTCCGATTTCACATATATGTTCGGGGGTTCATAACGCAATTAAACGTTCAAGGCTTGCTATCGATCGATTAATATTGCCTTAATAACCTTGATATGTGTGAACTAAATAACTGAGTGATCACACGGAAAGCATCTGTTGTAGGCATTTGATGATCGTAGTCCAAAATGGGAAGGATAATCTAAGTATAAATGATAGTTTTTCTGTAAAGAACTGAGGCTTTTGGCGGAATTATTGTTAAAAGCTTGCATTATGTTTTTCTCTTATACCTTTAAACCTGGTTAAATTTGAATGAATGGGTGCCCTAGGATCTGAGGTAACAAACTGTGCACATTTTTACTTGAAATATAGGCATATAAACTTACACAAGTTATACAAATACAAATATGATCACCCAACTTCGGTGGCATGCAGCTGCAATACACTGCTGAACCCAATGTGATCGAATGTACTTTACCACTCCCAATTCTGAGGCCTAGTTCGCGGGTTTCCACGAGTAAAGAGTGGGTCTTAGTGAGGGTGTATCTTGTTAGTTGCTAATCACACAAAAGGCGCTTGAGAAGAAGAAAAAAAAGAAAGTAACACTGACTAACTTAAAGAAACACTGATTATTCCTAAGTACTATCTCTGATGTATCGACTCGAAAAGTTCGTTCATCTACGAATTATTATCCTAACTGCATCATATTCGTGAACAGTGAATTGGTGAATATATATCCGTTTTCTTTCCTGTTATATGGTTATTTTGCACCAGATTTAGAGAATTTAACCAGTGCCTGCCAGGAGTGTCTTACTTTTCGAGACATATACTGCGTCTACTCCGTGCTTATTCTTTGGTTATTGGCAAACGATCACCGTAAAGCAATATTCGACATTATTAATAATCCCATGTAAACACGGTCGACTATAAATTTGGTCGAATATGCCACACAAGAACACGCTGAGAACAACAGTGTAGAACGGGCTCATCTTCGGTGATTCGTCCACCGGTCAAGACATTGAGATTTATATTATAGTGCTTTATCGAAAATTTATTGATTACAGATGGCGAAAAATACCCTATGTCCGTTCTGTGAATTTAAATGTGGTTTTTAGTTCCAAGTAAATCAAGGTAAATCACAAATCAATTTATTCATTTGGGTTCTACATAATCTAATTGATGTTTTATTACAAAATCTCATGCTTATCATGAGCTACTCTCAAAGATCATAACCCATACAATTCACGACAGTTTGCTCATAGCTAAATAAACAAGAGGCATGGAATAAATGAACGATCAGCTGATTGAAGTTCATTAGCACACAACCTGGTATTGGGAAAGGCTCTCTCTCGAGTAGGAGAAATGCGCACGTGTCACTACGTCGGTTTATGTGCCCCCTACAGCCGCTTTGCGGTAAACTGCGCACAATATATAACATAATGAGCCCATCAAATGGGTTTATTGATCTCCATATACAAGCCCTAAATATGAGACATAAAGCACTATGATGATTTGGTTATCGGAATTTGTATGGAAGCCACTTCGATTGATACGATCGCTCGATAGCCCATATGCGATGTGTCTAGAAATATCATTACATTGTAAAGGATACAGGGAACCCAGCGGGTCTAATGATGTTCATTTCAATGGAAAGCACAAAATACCGAATCCTGAATGTTTTCCGCACTCAAGATAGCCTAAACAGTGTGACTCATAGTCTCCGTTTGGTTCATTTACTGTAATCAGGGTTCACAACCTGAGCACTCGTTTTGTCAATAGACGCAAATCTCATAAAATCAGTCCGAGGGGAATGCCTCGGTATTGATTCAACTGTGGACGTGAAAAACGAAGTAGAAAGCATTGATTATTTCCATTTGAAAGACTTCACACATATTCCGTCAAAGTCGTTACGTTCACGCTGTGAGATAATAAAATGTACCCTATTGAATGTTTATAATTTTAAACATGTTGAATATATATGTGGTATTTCTTCTGGGCTCATTAGCAGTGTTCATTTTCCAGTTTTATTCAGAATAGAAATGACCGAACAGAAATAGTTAAGGAAACGTTTTCCTTAGTGATTAGTATTTCCTATTCGAATTTTTCCTTTTACATAAAATTACGATCATTTTTAATGCATTCATCAGTTTATGCACACTTCGTTCATTATACTTGTAACAATGTTTCAAACCACCAAACTGGGTGCTTTCACGCACACAGTATTGACCAAATAGTGTCGCTCACCTTGTTGATGTTTCGTTCGATTTGCCATAAATTCGGTTATCCTGAAGAAGATCGCGTGTCCCTTGTCCGATTGGCTACAGTTTATGTAGGGAATATGGAAAGATGAACCGTCTTGGACAGACTCGAACCTGTGTATTGAATTTGCCTACAATTAAGCTTGATCTATTCTACCAACTGAGATAGGAGGCCACAATAATAGCTCATTTTGATCACCCATTCATCTAATAGAGACAGACACAATCCACCAACTGCCAGGTAAGGTGTTTACCTTGGCACTTTCAAATCGAAATGAAGTTATTGATTCAAATATGTGATTACAGATTCATCACTCTAGGAATGTTAGGATTAACTACGACGAGAAAGAATTAAAAAGTAGATTTTTGATATCGACTTTACAGCTACAGGTATTAATACAAACTCATGCAACACCCTGACTTTCATTACATTTTTTCCTCCGAATACTTAGGCTTTCGAGTTTTTTAAAGTCAATTGACTTGAGCTGGAACCCTTGGTTCATTTTGCAATATTTGATTCAACCATTTTTAAGTTCGTTGTCATCTGCTCTATATTTTAACAAGATTTAGCGATTCTTGAAGCAGGTTGCAGACTTATTACCAACGTACTTCCCGATTGAGATTCACAACAAGGTAAAACACTAATGCATTTCCTAATTTCTAAGTTAAAATTTCTGAGCGATCATTTTATAATTGAATGAACTCTTCTACTACATGCTTCTATGAGCTTCTTTGAGCTTCTATGAGCCTTGTGCAACCTCTCATGGGAACTATAATCAGTGGAATACGTATGAAACGAACAACAGTTTGCTCGTAAAGATCAAATTTTAGAAACAGAGACTCCTCTGGGTTCATAGGAAACGACTTGGGTTCTGGAGAACAGAGTTGTATGCGCATAACAGAACTGTTTTATTCATCTGTATAAAGTGTTTGTAGTTTCTTCCTAATGATCTCTAAAGCAGCTCCGGAGTCATCCACATTAAATACGAACAGTCCCCGATTCGGCAGTGTAACGAATTTTCCGGAGCATAGGTTATTTCCAGCCAGAATGAGTCATCAGTGAGCAACACATGCCAAGAATATCCATATTTCTCGTCCAAATATTGCTTTAGTTCCTTTGCCAGTTGGTCTCGATCACTGATACGTGCCGAAAGTTCCTTTACCTTTGCCAAGATATCGTCTTTGGCGTCCGGTTTAAGACTGACCGCGTAGATTGTGATCTCCCCATCATCTGAAGGCGGTTTTGAGGCTACCGGAACCCATTTTTCACGTCTGCAACAAAAAATACAATAACAATAACAAATCCTTTAGTGGATTGGAAAACAGAAAATGAGTATGGCGTGTTATTCAACAGATTTGTTTATTATTTATTTTCTTCATGGATTCTGAACAAAAATGTATTCTCTTTGAGGAGTTATGTCCAAACGTATGAAGAAGTGTAATTTATAAATCTGTGTGAATTGAAATGAGTTTCACTCAAAGAGGCTCAAGATGACTGGGGTTGAAATATGTTTCTTTGGTAGGTCGTAAACTGAAAACTCTATTCCCAAACATTGTGTCCATTATCTTGTTGCTTTCTTTGCATAAACTAAAACACTTCCCGTCGTGACAGGAGCAATTATCATGGTTACGAAAACATTTAATTCCGTGTTCAATCTTATGTTTTTATCGGGTTGTTAATCAATAACTTTTTTCATGCATTAACAAGATTGTGTCTACACATGTGAAGTAAATCATTATTCTATACACCTTCGGTTAAAAGGTCTTTAATCATAAGCTTCAGCCTTCACATACAGACTAATTAACATTTACAACTCACGCGGTGGCTGGAGCGATTCCAAGAACGTCACAAAATTTTTCAAAAGTGATTTTTCCTGTATTGTCCGGATCGAACAATCGATTCCATTGCTACACATTGTAAAATAGAATGTGGCAAAAATAAACAGCAAAACGTATTTCCGTAAAATTTACTCACTGTACGGGAAGTCAAAGTATCAACCTTATCATCTAATTACATAATGATATTCGTAGATTGAAGTGAATTTAAAACTCAAGGTTCCATTGATAGTCATTTCGATGGGAACTATGAATGAATGAAGGCACACAACCTGTTTCTTGATTTTTATGACGAGTCATAGAAGCACACCCGATAATCTCCTATCAGGTCATGAGCTGATATGCACATTCGCCGCTATTAGTAGGGGATTTATCTATACCTCTTCTAAGTCTACGTCACAATAAACAACTTAGTATGCTACCTTACGTGCTAACTTATCTCAGCCCCCCCCTCCACCTCCTTTCGATGATTGAATTCAGATTAACTATTTACTATTATTGAACAAAAATTGTCTTAGCCAGTAAACCAATACCATTTCCTATTCGCTGGACCAGTGCACGGATCCATGTTGTTGAACGGGTTTCTCGCGGTCCTGATCACTTCAAACAGTCTTATGACATACAGCATTTTCAATTCATCTTTCAGATAATCTATCCCATTCTTTTGATTGTGAGCAATGTTTATTTATCTACTGGTGAGGACAAGGTAATCAATAAATAACCTAAGCTATTTGTCTTTAAATTTCAAAATTAATAGCAAATTTAATGTGTACTATGTGATACTGTTGTCTATCTATCTTGGAATGGCATATCCACACATTGCAGTAGGAAACAGCATACTATACCGTTTCAGGGACTACCCTTTTGATTGATCAATTGCTATAGCAGTCAAAAGCTATTGGTTGTCCGCTTGAGAGCGCGCGTGAAACCAAGGTAGAAAACAACTTACCGTGATCATACTTTCATCCAAATTATTCTCTTGCACATATTTTCTCAATTCCGCTGTGGTGATAATCTCGCTACGATCCTGATCCACCGCAAAGAAGACCTCCAAAAAGGGTTCCATGCCGCTTCCCTTTACTTGTAGCGAGTTTGAAGAAACGGACTATTCCGAATCACTGCGCGCCGGTGGCGGATTCTCATATTTATGTGAGCTCGGGAATCCCGAGAGCGAGAATGACGGTATTCTCGATTGGCACACACACACACACACGCACATCCACATGCACGTGCACCGCAGCAAGCTTATGGTTGTGCGCATGTGTGCGTGAATGAATCAACCAGTTTGTACGCATTTCGCTGGCAATACAGTTACGTCGTGGGGGTGGAAACATCTAAAAAATAAATAGAAGCAGTACAAACTGCGACTACTCATCCTCTAAACAGGGTGGAAAAAAAACAAAAATGAAAGATGCAATCACGGCTTGTGCAGAAGGACAAGTACACGATGGAGTCATTTCAACGACATTTTGTAGGCATGATGACAGACTACGACATAAAGTAATCAGTTAATGCCTTACTGTGTGCATGACAATGAACTTGTATCAGTTTGAGAAATAAGAAAACCATGGGAGCGTACTCTGCGCCACAAAAGTGCCGCGGGTCAAATCATCTTAGCCTCTTTCATTTCCAGACCAAGTCGATGATGCATATTGATTGCTCTCGTCTTCCGGAAATGTTGGCATTCATTATCTGCTTCTCAGAGCGCTTTCTTTGAGTGATATGTTTTCCAGAAGACAACAGACAGTTGACAGATGTCGCCGTACGAAGTAGCCGTTCCAATTAAGTCGTCTACATTTAACGCATGATATGTATGCGCCAAGCAAAGATAATAGTAATACTTGAAGTAATCAATGCATCGATTCTTGACATTGTTATTAAAAAGAGTAAAGAACTGACATAAACCACATGGTGCACTCCGTAGAGTACACGTTGTGAGACTTGAGTTGTTATTAAAAAGATATAGAATGCATGAAATGCTCTGGAATAACTCAATTTTTTATAATACTTCCTGTTTCGATACTGACTGGGGGTTTTGTTAATTATTGGGTTCACTTGAAAGGATGACGTGAGTGATCTATTCATTAGCTTTCAAGAATAACCAGCAGTTATAAAGCCATGTTTCGAAGCTCTCTTACCAGCGCAAACACTTCTCCGTGTATTATTTCATAACCAGTATAAAACACTTTGAAACAGCCCAGTGTCACGGGATCACAATCAACTAAATCACAATTGCGGAAGTTTGAGCTGAACTACTGGACTCATTGTACATCTGAGAGTAAGCAGAATGCTTAGTTAGTGACAAATCAACGGATTGATTGTTCTATAGCCTCGTTAGACCCATATCGTTTTTGTGACAGAATTTGCTTGGTTCATGAGTCCGACATTGCCAGAGATCAAAAATACGGTTCAATAAACCATTTGAATGCATAGACAATTCAAAGCATCCCACATGAATTTCGTTTGATTGGTCAAACAGTACTTAGTGGTCTTGTATATTATGGACTGGCCGCGCACTGAAAAGAGTAGTACCAAAACAATATTTTGGATTAAATTTTGTTCTTCTACACAGATATCATGAACACCTCTATAACGCAATGTTCTTTGCCGAATTATTGCACTCAGCTCAGGTGGAAAAGCGTATTGGTACTCAACATCTTTATTTACTCTCTCGGTAAGGCTTATCACATTTGTGTTATGGTATAGCTTACTCATCTTTTCATTAACTCTGAAAGAAATTGCACCGGAATTCATAACAGTTGCTTAAGAACTCTATGTTATCACTATATTATTTAAATATTATTGTATCTCAGTTATTTATGTTAAGCGGTTCTGTAGTGAATATTATATTATAATATGACGCATTTAGTTAAAAGCACTGTACAGTTTTACGGGATTTTGTCGCTTATCGGAACCGATCATTATTTTATTAAAGGTGTGAAAAAACCCTGATCACAATAGTAAATGCAATTTTACGGTTGTGCTGACATATGGTTACCAAAACTATGAAGAACAAGTGAGAACAATAAGAAACATTACTTATCACCATTATTGTTATATCGAAAATACGTTGAAATGTGCTTTTTCAATATTTTACTGTTTTTTTCACTGAATGAAATCGATTTAGGGATTCACATTTAAGAAGCACCTTTAGATCGTCGGAGGACCAGCGAATAGTATCAACTTACTGGTATTTTAGATTTGAAATCAAAATGCTAATAAACCCGACAGAGTTCCGCCTCAGGTATTCCATGAGTAGAATGTTATCTGTTGAACTACCACGCCCCTTCTCCCTAAATATTGAGCAGAAGGAGGGGATTAAACTCAATCCAAAATTGTGAAAGATCATCCCAATCAGGGAGAAGATTCATGAGATAATGTGATTTATTTATCGAATTCTGTAGTGAGAGAACTTGTGTTCGTTGTGCTGTCTGTTGTGCTTGATTCCAACCGATTTCCACCAACTGGTACACCATACTCATGTGATCTGCCATACAAACAGATGAATCTGAATGAATAGTCTCCTGTTGCATAAGCTTGAAAGCATCGGGCTTAGCTATAGCTATTTGTGCTCTGATTGTATTTGACNATTTGACGGTTGCTCAAAACGAAGATCGGAACGCACATTTTTGCGCACATTCCGTTTGCATGCTGACATCCAGTTCAGCTGATGATATGTACTCCGTCAGCATTATCAGACACGCTGCTTGGACAATATTTCATTGCAGTTGGTTGTCAAGACCACGTTTTTGGTGCGCATTGACCTACACAAATCTATCCTGCACAAACATCGGTTCCGTGACATTGAAGCTGCTGTGCTGCGAATTACTTACCGCAGTCTATATCATGATACACCATATGGATGTACTACAGATCTCCAGTGTGATTTCTGAATTGTGTGACCTTCAGTAAAATTCTCTCTCAGCTGATCTGGGCATCTCGACATCTGGAATACCTCACACGACGAAATCCACTCGTGCCAATGCGCAGCAGTGCCCACGTTTATCTGAAAACCAGTCCAGTCAGTTTATCACGCGGCTGATTGAAATCACTTCTGTTTGGTAAATACACAGTCGTATTCAGGAGCGAGCACACTTATATTCATGGGGCTACAATCCAGCTAAATGATCAAGGTGATTGTTCACGAGATGGTGGGTCCTACTGAATCCTGCGGTTTCTTTAACTGTGTTTGTGGCTATAACAAAACAGCAGCGGTCTATTCGCCCAAGATGGTTGGTAAGTTATGTCTATGAAGGTTGTATTCAGCTTTCGAAAGCAATAAGGTTAGATAACAGTTTTACTAGTAGTAGTTCTACTTGGCTTTCGGATAAAATATGGTAAGCCGTGGTGCTGTAAAATACACCGGATTGATTAAATTTTGGAACTTTGTGTTGAGAGCAAAGGTCAACCGGTAATGGGAATACTGACTGCGCTCGTCGGTATATTGATGCGCATGACCTGTAGACAAATCCACTTTGACTTGGTTGAATAGGGTAATAAATCACATGATAGCCGAATTTGAATTTGTTTAAGTAAGCTTCCAATCCCATTCAATCAGTAGCATGTAATCTGATCATAAAAGCAACATACTTTGGACGATTGACAATTGAAGTTCAGTTTGCATTTTAACATAATCGTAATAAAGGCTCTTTGTATTTGCCAAGTGTAGCTTCTGTCGATGAGCTTTCACTTCAATTGTATTAAGAAGAAAACGGAACACCAATAAAGTTTCATCAGTTTTCACTGTATGATTAAGTACAGGTTGAAACTCACTTAGCCATAGCCTCCTTCTTGTGTCTTGTCCTAATTCGTTGCAGAGCATTGAAAAATCAATCACTGGGATACTAGATTTTTACCTTTCCTTGTTGTACTCACATTTCTTAGTCTCTCCTTGGATTGATAACGCTTTTTGGTGATTTGACAAAAGGTTATTCTGGGTTATTCATACATTCCCAATGCCTTGGCTGGGAGAGCGTACTTTTTTCTCAGGCGTAGGTGGTGTTGGCGCACTAGTACACAGCTCACTGAGGCTTCTGATACTTTCACAATTCCAACACACGTAAATATCACTGAATTATCTGCCAAAAGACATTATTTGAATATCCTGAAAATAAATTTGTATTTAGTGAAAATGATCCTTATCACTGCGTGGTCTTACCTGGTAATCACAAACATCTTGTGCTTCCGTTGGAAAGGAAAAGCTTTCACTTTTGGGGGTTATCCTTCGACAATACCTCAGTGTCTTACTTGTAGTTCCCTATTTCACTAACTGGGCCCTATTTTTATTGCATTGTCTGTCCACCCGTCAAAATGAATTCTGCATTCTCACGGAAAAAAATTAAAGTTATCTCGAAATTGTATGCCAAAATGATGATCATTCTATGAATTCGGAATCGGCCTACTTGAACACCGATACGATCGAAAACCGACTTCCGAAATTCACCCAAACTATCAGCTGTTTGGAAACAGTTTTTACACGATTTCTTGAAGAATCGCGGTTGTGTAACAATAGAGAATTCACGAACGTATTCACCAATGACGGCCTAATTAAGACACAGCCCGTGTTTTCTGCTTGCGCAACCAACAAAACTCATTTGACCAATTGTCCACAAATTTGATCTGTAAGTTGGGACTGGGATCACACGGCTCTACATGATCGTGGTAAGTTAAATCCAACAAGCTCAAGACGTCAGAAACACGGGTTAACACAATCTATAGATGATCATTACGCTGCATAAATTGTGCAAACTCATTTTTCTGAATTGTCTTATCAAATTTGTGGTGCAAAACTACTCTTTTCAATACCAGGACGGTTTCATGTTACCATACACACGAAACGGATATCCTCACCTCTGAATCCTTTACACCTAAGTTTAGGCTCATCTTAAGAACAATTGTGATTAACTCACGACTGATCACAAATTCCTCGTGTGGGTAATTTCATTCCATTCGTTCCTCAAACATCCAAAGAGTAATCCGAGTCTCACCACTGAAAATATTTAATGCCAAGCCTTCCTGAACTGTTAAAATTCTGGTTAGCACGATCCTGAACAGCGATGCAGCACG